GGAGAGTAGATTGAGAGTAGTTTCCCTATCGGGAAGCAAAAGCTATCGTAAACATCCCCAAATATTATGCGACCTTGAGCACGAGACCTCTGTCTCCGTCTGCCTACGCTACGCACGCAAACTGGCATAAATATTCGCGTTCAAATAATCACAGAGGACACGGACGTTCGAGATCGGCGTCCTTCACCTCCGCGGGATTTCGCGACCCGGGGAAATCGAGGGTTGTCGATCCAACGCGGCTGTTCTCATTTTCCGGAGCCGGCGAGAATCAAGTTTGACGCACGCGCAAATGCGAGTGGAAAGCAACCGCTTTTCCAACTTTGCAACGCCTAATATGAATCAATTGGATTTAACCGCATCGATTCTCAAGTGCATGGAATGGAGATTTTTACGTCGGCTATGTACTACCTGCCGAGCTGTCGTTTTTTAACCCATTATTCATGAGAAAAGAAGAGAAATCCTAGTCCTAAACAGTCCGGAGAGACAAAGGAGAATCGCCGGAGGTATTTTCACATTTCTATCCACATTTCTTGTGGATAACATTGCGGTGAGACTGCGAGTCAGGTCATCCAATAGAAATTAACACTTCCCTGCTGAACTCCGTAATTAAAACGTGTGTCACACACACACACACACACAGAGAGAGAGAGAGAGAGAGAGAGAGAGAGAGAGAGAGAAAAGCTTTGTTCGATAAAAATTCCAATCAATCAAAGAAGAAAGGTAATATTTCCTCGCCAACACGTGAATTGAAATGTGCATCTTTCAATGGACGAAGACGGCGACAAGAGGGTCAATTGATAACACCGAAAACCGATATCGAGCAGCACGCCACTTTTGTGCAACCTTGCGAAAGAAGCAGAATATCACACTCACGATTATAAATTTTTGTACTCCATGCTTTCTCTTCCCTTTCTCACCAGCGAAGCGGAGAACATCCATGTTTATTCGGAAACGAAGGAGCGCGAAGAATGTGCACGTCGGCTAGGACGCCAGTCTCGACGTTACAACTGCATCGGACCCGACGCTATACGAATATTATCAGCAAGTATGCGAATGTTCACTGCGTATATTCGTCCCTGCCGTGCAAGTGGCACGAGAGGTAAGTGAGCGCGTCCGCGCATTTGTCAAATTTCTCGTTCTTACGGTCGGGACGAGGGAAGGTGTGCGCGCTTTCGACGGACACAAAACGGGAGAGAAAGCAAGCGCAATCGGGTCAAAACTGCATCGTAGTCTGCACATAGGAGAGCATCAGTGTTGAATAATCGGCAATCATCGCCGCGTACACGATGCTCCCTGCCGAATCGCAGGAGCAGGAGTGCGAAATCTCGAAAGGCTTCCGCGCGTTATCGATAACAGAGAAACGGGCGCTATTGACAGCAGGAGAGAACGCGCTCGACGTCACGTAGTATATCGCTCTTCCGCTTTTTCCTGCGGCGGACGCCATTGTCCCGCTAATAACCGAGAATTTCTCGGCGGCTTCGATCGGCGGTAAAGAGAGAGAGAGAGAGAGAGAGAGAGAGAGAGGCGACATCCTCGCCTACGAGGGCGTCGAGGCGGAAGCAGAGGCTCACACGCATCGATAGAACTCACTCGCTTCGTTCCACCGTCACCGTCACCGTCAGCGTCACCGTCACCGTCACCGTCACCACCTCCACCACCACCACCACCACCGTCGTCAGAGCGTCATCGAGCCCGCAGCGGCATAACTTCTCCGCGTAGGGCCAGCACCGGGTCGGAGAGGACGTGCAGCCCCGTCAGAAGCGCCGTCGCTCGTCACCGCCACGTTGCACCCATCGACGCGCGAATCGCGCAACAGAGTACGCACTTTTCCACCGGTGTAGAGGCGCCGGAGAAACCTCCGGGGGTAGTCGGTCAACAACTGCGAGCCAACTGGCTCTCCACGGATACTGCTGCTGCCTCCGGTTCTATTTCTAGTTCCACTTCCAGTTGCGGACGTACCTCGTAGCCGTTTCGCCGCTAGACACCCGCCGTAATCGCCGGTACCACTCGGTGGTACCGCGATGGCTACTTCTGCCCCTCGGTGGAGCTTCCACACGCACGCACGCACGCATGCACGGTGCACGAGAGAGAGAGAGAGAGAGAGAGTGAGAGACGCGGTTAGGTCGTCGCGGTGCGCGGGCTCGCTTTTCTGCCGCGGTTCGCACACAACCGTGATGGTAGCACGAGACGAATCGATGAACGTCGTCGTGCGGCTCGCCCCACTCGTTTACTCCGTCGCTCTCTTTCTCTGTCTCCCTCCCTCTCTCGCGCTCTTTCGGTCCGTACACCCTACGGCTCGCTCGCGCTCCGCAGGAATCCGCACGCGTTCTCACGGACACGGAAGAGGAGAACCGGCCGTCGAACGCGGCCGAGGGAGCCGAGACGGCACGCACCGGGACACAACGCGCACTCTACGACGGGAGATGTCTCGATCTCGAACCACACCCAAGGAAGGACGTGGTAGTTTCGAGAGAAGGCCGGCCGGGAGGACGAGCCGCAGGAGAGGTGGAAGAAACGACGCTGGCGCCACGGCGCCCATGTACCGACAGTCCGACCACCCGGTGTATCGAGAGGACGCCGTCGTCGCGCTCCCGATGGCAGGTTACTGCTCCAGCTAATGCTGCTGCTGTTGCTGATGACGATAATGATCAGCCGTGCTGTCAATTGCAGCAACTAACTGAAGGTTAGGAACAATGAGCATTCGCACGGCAAAGGAAATTTGGAGCAGACTGTGTCATAACGTTGTGCGTCACGTTGTATGCTCGCGTCAGGACGGGAAGACAAGCCTGCGACGAAATGCCCGGACTCGCGATTACGTCGTGTGTGCAAATAATAAAAATTTTCACCAACGTTAAATATAAAACACAGTCTCGCCGAGAGGATAACCAAGACTGATAACAACTGCGACAGCAGCGAGGATGCTTTGTCACGTGTTGTTGATTAGGGATACGATTAGGGATAGCGATTGGAGCTCCGATTAGAGACGCGAATTAGCCTTGAATCGATGTTTAGTCAATCACCGTACTCGCGAAGTGAGGCTGGTCCAAATCGATACCACCATTCAAAATAACACGTCTGTCGTCGTGGTTGACAGATGGCAGGCACGTTGCGCCAAGCAACTCGGCCCGCAACAGTCAATGCCAGATCAACTCGGGTCTTTGAATGGTGTATAGGGACCGTTCTCAGCCCGACGAAGAGAACTAGAATAAAAGATCGTCTCATCTGGAAAAGCACGGTCGGGAGAGAAAGAGAGACGCGCGCGACGACAACTTTTTCGCCTGTTTACCAAACGCTTGCACTCAAACCGTGGTCTTTAATCTTCCACTCGAAGATCTTCCATCCTCGACAAAAACGCTTCGGCGAGTAACGCGAGGTACCCCGAATGCTTTTGCAACTGCGTGTGCGTCAAGTGTAGACTCTCTTTTTATCACATTTACCGCTCTCGACTGTCCTTCTTCACAGGACCAAATTCGTCGGAGGGACATTCGGCTTGACGAAAGACTCGTCTATTATCAAATTCCCTAGGCCGTCTCCCTTCGGTAAGCTCCCGGATGCGCGAATGGGAGCAACAGTTGAGCCGCGCGGGGGTCAACGTCCAATATGATCTCTCTCTCTCTCTCTCTCTCTCTCTCTCTCTCTCTCTCTCTCTCTCTCTCTCTCTCACACTCACTCTCTCTCTCGATTAAATTATTGAATGTTAGCGTATCTGCTTAGCATGGCGAATCAGTTCAGTTTACAAGATTTAACTCGTCATGAAATATATAATTTACATTTATATAATTTATGATACAACTAATTCTGTGTTATTGTTGTAATGGCAATCTTATAAATTCGATTTAGTTTCTTTCCAACTTTTCTTTCAGGTATATATTATTATTTGCGAATTTTAATTCAATCTTGCGTTTCGTTTGCATTATATTTTTCAATTAAACCTGGACTGAGAAGTTTGATCGCGCGGTGTCGCCAAGGTCAGGACAATATCAACATGAAAATGAATTGAACTTCCTATTTTTTATTGCATATTCTTTTATGCCCCTCTCGAGACCTTTTCAAAACATTATAATTTTATTCACTTTGGATCAGTCGTTTCGAAGTTATCGAACTTCTTATGGTAACTTATCGATGAAGATCGGGAATATCTCGAAGGGATTAATTCGTCGTAAAAGATGTTTATTATTAAAGTTGTTGGGTCTAAAGAGTTATCTGATTAATAGGTCAGATTTTGAATCCGTGGCCCAATTGAAGCCTGATCGAATCTAAGTTGATTTTTTCGAATGAGAATCTCTATTTTCTTTTTATTTCAGATTTATGTTTAAGACAATTTTTCCTTTCCAGCTATGTAGATTTGATTTTGAACCTGGGTCCACTTCAAGTCCAATTAAACTCAAATCTAATTTCCTGAAGGATAACCTTTATTTTTCACAACATACTCGTTTTCTGGACAATATTTTTGAGTTTTGTGATAGTAACATAAACTAGAATTTAATTTTATGGTAACATAAAATAAAATAGTAATATAAATTAGAATTAGAACTCGGAACCTAGGACCTCCAACTAAGCCCTAGTCATAATTTTATTCGTCATTTTTCATCTAAGACTCGTGGAAAGAACAATATTACAGAACACTCTGTATATTTAAGTACTTTGTTTACATAATTTCTATATACTCGAAAGGACTTTTTCTACGGTGAATAAACTCTACTGTACTCTACTCTCTCTCTCTCTCTCTCTCTCTCTCTCTCTCTTTCGTTCTCTCCCCCATCTTCCTATCTGTTCTCAATCTCTTCATATGTTTCGACCCAACCGTATACGATCGTAAAGCTGCCAAGTACCGAGTGCATGCACTTCACCGATGTCTTCTTTGGCAACGACTGTTTGGAGCATCGAGGTAAAGGGTGACAAGCTCTGGCGGCTGCAGGCGAGCCGACAGTTGGTCGACAGACCGGCAGGTTCGTCGACGTTGCACCTGCCTATCGAGGGTGTTTCTCTCCAAGCGGCATTCTTGGATGTCCGGTTAATCGTTTTACAGTTTACCATCATGAACTTCTCGCCCGGTAAGCTCTGGTCAAATCTTTGTATCGTCCCCCCGTAATCCCGCTTGACCCAAGACTTAATTTATTTAATTTACGGTAGCCAATTTCCGCGGTTGGCACTTCATTAAGTTTCTTCTAGATTTTACGTCCCCCTTCCGTACGATTCCTGCGCTCCTCCCATTAAAGTCGGCGAGGTAAAACCTCTCTCTTCTTGGTAAAACCAAGTTAAAAAAAAAGAAAAAAAAGAAAAAAAAACTGCGGCACCTTTGTCTCGCTTTCTCGAATTTCTACCTTTTCAAAAGCGAGTGTAGCAACAACAATCCAACAACGGTTTATACAATTAAACTTACACGGTTTCGTTAGTTAGAACTCAATTTCGCAAGTATGGGCAGTTAAATATCTTAGTTTGGCATAGAGAGAATCGTGGACACATTAAAATACGTGATGACGCAAGCGATCGATCGATCAACATCCGTTCAAACCTTGAGTAGCGGCATGCTCACTTTTTCGGGCGTCGTTAAAAAAAAATTTTTTAACAGCTTTCGTTCTGCCGTACCGAAATAGAGAGATGCACGCAAATGGAGTATATGTTTCTCGTACTCCGTACGGGTCATCGAAACCTAAACGGGGGAAGAAGCGATGCGCACGCGACGAAGAGAGCGAGAGGGAGGGTGACGGCAGGTGAATGACGTCAGGAGGCGGGTCGTGACGTCAGTAAGTAACCTGAAGCAGGCTGCATGGCGCCAGCATTGTTCGTTAATTTCTAGATACTGAGAGAGAGAGAGAGAGAGAGAGAGAGAGAGAGAGAGAGAGAGAGAGAGAGAGAGAGAGAGAGACCGAGACGTCCTCGTTTCTATATTAGGACCTAATGCAATATCTAACACGACACCTTTTTTTAAGCGTGTCATCGCGTGGGTGTTGCAGCGTGGCAAAGTGCCGCGATTTACGAACGGTAAAAACAAAAAGAAGAGAAATGCGAGACTATACCGAAGAAATGCTTCGGAATATGCGAGTGTGATTCTTGCGATTAGTTGCATGCTGCCGAGAGAGAGAGAGAGAGAGAGAGAGAGAGAGAGAGAGAGAGAGAGAGAGAGAGAGAGAGAGAGAGAGAGAGAGAGAAGAGACGAGCAACTGGACCGTGTAAATTACATTCAATACGGTCTGGCATATAATATTGATCGCACAGCTCGTGAACATCAATGAACGATATTATACCACGAATGCCGCCTTAGAATATCGAGTCCTTCCCGGTGCTACTTTTATGAATGAAAATAGTGTGTCGGGAGAAGAAAGTCTGCGCGTCGTGACACGGATTTTTACTAATCGTAGACGCGGCGGACACATACACACACACACACACACGTGTCACAGTCGGATTTGGAGAAATCGCGCGAAGGACCAGCGTCCCGACTTGCTTTTATCGCGTCCGAATATACCGAGAACCTTGTATTAAGCTCTGTCCTAGTTTAACGTAGCCGCGTGACGTCATTAAGCGCGCCAAGAATCGCTTGCCTTGCGCTTGCCTACAGCGCATCCATGAGAAATCGTGTTTTTTTTTTTTCGTCTTTTTGCGCAAATGTCAACTACGCGAGCCAGCGTGTCCCGGGACGAACTCGCGATGATTCTTACGATCGAGCACGAAACGTTATCGCATGTAACAGTCGCCGTGTAAATATTTAAGTTTACGAGCGCGCGCGCTCCGAATCCCACGGAAGGACGTGGCCGATCATCCAATTTGCACGATTTAAATCGAATTTTGACGCAGGGAGGAAATTGGCCAGCGTCAACTGCTGTTAAACCAGCGATTCTCCCTCTTTCCTCTTTCTTTCTTTTTTGGTTGCCATTGCTCGCTTTCCGCCTTCTCGTCCGTTGGACGAGTAGCTGTCCCTACTAGAACAGCTACAACACCGGCGACACGGGCGCGAGAGGGACGCGGTGGAGAAACAGGACGTAGAGCCCGTGGGAGGAAAGAGGGTTGGAGGGGTGGCCGAAGGGGGGTTTAACGGAGGGACACATCATCCAGCTCGAATACGTTGACCCTTTCGCATTGGCTAAGTAGCGCGACCTACTAACCGTCCTGTAAACCACGATCGTTATTAAGGGGCTCCGGTGTGTGCGTGTGTGTATGTGTGTGTGTTTTCTATCGGAGAGGCACATCTGCGTGAGCTTGCCGCCGCCAGCCGTTCGGCGCGCACGTGACGTTATCTGCCGCGATGAAATTATACGAGACCACACGAGTAGGGCAACGACAGTCCCGGACGAGTTTAACCTCCTATGCAAATATCACTGCCGCGCGAGTGTTCGCACGGAAAACAATGTTCAATCGCGCGCGACGCGAAAGGCTCCTCCGACTCCGCGGCGAACCGCGGCGCGACGACTGCTTGTTACTCGTGACGGCGGGTCTTTTTGCACAAGCAGAGCCGAGCGTATCGTACACGGATTAACTCGCGCGAGAGTAGCGATCCCG